ACAAGTTCACCAGCAAACAAAATATTGCTGATATCAACAACGCAAAAAAATAGCTTTTCTTACTTAGATTTTTTGTCTTGTTTCTAGTCCAAATATCTAAAAGTTCTTAAATCAAGAAGCATTTTCTAGACCAGCAAAACATATTGTTTTGTTTTAAGAAATACTATGCCAAAATGAAGTGAGTTTTTCCTTAAATCAAGCAAAATAATCTTATCACAAATAGAAAAACAAGATTATTTTGCTTGATTTGAGGAAAATCTCACTTCATTTTGGCATAGTATTTCTTAAAACAAGACAATATGTTTTGCTTGTCATGAAAATGCTTCTTGGTTTAAGAAATTGTAGATATTTGGACTAGAAACAAAAAAAATCTAAGTAAGAAAAGCATTTTTTGCAGTGAAAGCTAAAGGTTATGCAATAATTGCATTTCATATATGTGAAACTGAAAATTAAATTAATCAGATTTTAGGTACTTGATATTAACAATTGTATTTGAATGACGGCCTTTTTGGTGACATTTTACATTATTACTCTTGATATAAAATTTATAAGCCTATGTTACGCAATGTACATTTTCCAGTGAAAAGGTAATACTGATTTCAACGATAAAGGTTTACACAAACAAGAATTTAATTTATGATAGATTAAACTGAACTGCAAACTCTCTCATATCAATAATTATGAATTGTGACCTATCTAATGACATCTAACTAGTGAAAATACCTCTCCATTTACGCTTTTTAAAAATAAATTAACATTGGCAATAGTGACAATTGATAAATTAACATACTTACTTGTCTATTCTTAATACAAACAATTGAACTGCTACAAGTAAACAGCAAACATGTAAACACAACTTCACCAGTAAACACACAATTGCTGATATCAAAGCTTAATGTTTTAATAGAAATAATAGCATTTCTTTTATGTGAAACTTTTCACAGTGATGGGTTGCAGCTGGAAGGGCATCAGCTGCGTAAAACATAAGCTAGATAAATTGATAGTTCATTCCACTGTGGCGAACCCAGATTAAAGCAACTAATCCGAAAAGAAAATTAATGAATGAAACAGAAAAATTAAACCAGTCAGTATTTAGTTTTTAGATATTAACAATTGCATTTGACTGCCTTTTTGGTGACATTTTACGTTACAATTCTTGATATAAAAGAATATTAGCCAATATTATGTTAGGTACTGAATATTATGTTACATTTTATAGTGAAAAACGTAATGCTGACTACAAAAAAATGCATTGATGCTAGCATAAACTAAACTGCAAACCAGGAATTAGTATTTTAGTGAAACTTGGATCGTATCTTTAAAGAATTCATAGTCAAAACAGCTTTTCATATTGCTTTATAATTTGCTGTTTTTTGACAGACTTACTTACAGTGATGCAGTGGCCAGGTTAAACAACACACCGTCGTCCATCATTCAGCAAACAAATGCTGACGAGAAAGAGCAAATTAGCCATTATTATGATGTACAGTCGACTAGTTAAAAGTCTTAGGGGCTTTAATCATAGATGCAGGAGTAAACTGTTTAATGTACATAATGTTATCGTACATTTAAAACTGGGAGTTATTTTATCTGTGCAAAACCTTACACGTCTTTGTGTAAGGAGTTTATTGTGTCCCGCTAAATCGAGCAACCTGCACGTGGTTTCCAACGTTAGCGGTTTATGTATTTGGTTATACCGCCCTCTAGTGTGTGGACAGGCTAATCACATTTTAGCTTCCACATGCTAGATTTTTAGCCATTGGTCAGATCATTTAAAACGTGTAGAAATTATTGTCTATTTATCATTTAGTGATCAACTGAGTATAACTATTAAATCAGTTAAATATAAATATAGTAGCAAAACCACCATGTTCATCGTCCAGAAGCATAGAGGGTAAAGAAACTGCATTCATATGTGTTGTGTGTGATTGCTATATGCTAATACACAAAAAATATTATAACAAAAATAATCTTAAATAAAACAAAAAACAGTAGCTTTCATTTGGCGCTCTGATTTTAACACGAATGAATAGCCTAATAGTGTAATAGTAGGTTACACGTGGAATACTATAATTTAAATATGCCTAAGTGTTTAGTAACGTTAGTCTATTTACAACACCTAGTTAATTAAAAAAAACTATCGTGCTGCTAGCACTATACACGACCATATTATTCTATACTATTCTACCAACTGTTGTGAACTGAAAAAAACTTTATAAATTTATATTACTGTGTGGTCTACTTTATTTTTATACTAAACATGGTGTATTGTAAATTACAGTAGGCTATTGGGCAGGGATAGGCAAACTTGATCCTCAAGGGCCGGTGTCCCTGCAGAGTTTTGTTCCAACGCTAATCAAACACACCTGCTTGTAGATTTCTAGTGATCTTGAAGACACTGATCAGCTTGTTCAGGTGTGTTTGATTAGTGTTGGAGCTAAATTGTGCAGGACACCGGCCCTCCAGGACGGAGTTTGCCCATCCCTGCTATAGGGTAATTGGTTATTGTATTACCACTACATGGTAGTATTATGCTATGGGTAAATAAATAAATAAAAACTATTAATTACTATAAATTACTATCTCATATAGGGGCTTACAGGCGAAGCAGTGGCGCAGTAGGTAGTGCTGTCGCCTCACAGCAAGAAGGTCGCTGGTTCGAGCCTCGGCTCAGTTGGCATTTCTGTGTGGAGTTTGCATGTTCTCCCTGCGTTCGTGTGGGTTTACTCCGGGTGCTCCGGTTTCCCCCACAGTCCAAAGATATGCAGTACAGGTGAATTGGGTAGGCTAAATTGTCCATAGTGTATCAGTATGAGTGTGTGTGTGGATGTTTCCCAGAGATGGGTTGCGGCTGGAAGGGCATCCGCTGCGTGAAAACTTGCTGGATAAATTGGCGGTTCATTCCGCTGTGCCAACCCCCGGATTAATAAAGGGACTAAGCTGACAAGAAAATGAAAGAATGAATAGGGGCCTACATAATAAGACCAATGCTGACTAAGCACCTTTATAGTACTTGATCCATGGGCCAAAAACTGAGTAGGTGGATATGAAAATGTTAAAGTTTGTCCCAAATCCTATTGCTTTCTTTTCTGTAGAAAACAAATGTTTAATAATTATAATTAACAATTAATAAGTAAAAAAAAAAGTAGCCTATATAATTGATAGTTTACTTTAATGGAAAACAATATAGAATGTATTATTGTTTATTCATTCATTTTCTTTTCAGCTTAGTCCCTTTATTCATTAGGGGTCGCCACAGCAGGATGAACCGCCAACTTATCCAGCATATGTTTGACGCAGTGGCTGCCCTTCCTGCCACAACCCAACACTGGGAAAACACCTATACACTCTTGCATTTATGCACAAACACTACTGCCAATTTAGCTTATGTATTATTGTATAAATATTAATACGAAGTATTTCCCATCCATTAAGCTGGATATTTTAAAACTCAAATTCAGTGGACATATATGGCTCTTATGAACTATTCTTGCATTACAAACTGTGAATGTTTAAAATAAATACACACACACACACGTCGAAAATACAATAGGCTATAAAATAGGCTCTTTTATAAACATATTCTGGAGTAGATGAAAAAATAGACTCCTGGCTAATCACTTTTGCTCCTGTAACTGATGAAAATCAGTGTTGGGGAAAATTACTTTAGAAAGTAATGCATTACAATATTGAGTTATTCCCCAAAAAAGTAACTAATTGCGTTACTTAGTTACTTTTTATTGCAAGTAATAGGTTTCGTTACTTTTGCGTTACTTTTCTTTACTGGTTGATGCTTGATCTCTTACAGAACTTGCAGGTATTTTTTTCTTTTTAATAAAGAACCTCTGTCATTAGCAATGCACTGTATAACCTACACATTTATTTACCTTATTTTTTTTGTCTTAGAAGTACAAACCATTTAAGTACAATAGCTTTTCTTCCAAGTGTTCAAAATAATGAACATTCTCTCATCTAAATTTTTATTCAGCAATTTACTTCTTAAAAGCTAATTAATTTAAGAAAAAAGTAACTTGTTACATTGCTTTAAAAAGATAAAACTTAAATATTATTACTGCATTATGCAGTACTTTACTCGTTACTTACAAAAGTAATATTATTAAGCAACTCCTGTTACTTATAATCCGTTACCCACAACATTGATGATAATAATATGCACAATCAAATAAAAAAAATTAAATTTTAAATTAATTATTTATCTCTATTTCTTTCAGATTTTATTTGACATTTAATTGATTTGGTAAAAATAAATACTAGTGTATTCTACCAACATTCAATATGCTAAAATTAAAAATATTAACTAAAATAATAATAAACAAGAGAATGGCTCGAATGATTCTTATATTATAAATCGTTAACCAAATCAAGCTTTTTTTTTACAGCCTGAAAATGCAATACTCAATTTTTATTTTTTGAATACATTTTTGTTTATTGTAAATCCTAAAATTTATAATAAATTGGTTCAAACTGCACAATTACACATGAATGTTTCATTTCTAATGACTCATGTAAGGGTAAAGCCACAAAAGGATTAACTACCATAATTTCATGCCAAAAGTGCTTTTTGTCAAATCATGACTCCAAATTTTGACAATTATAATGCATTATTACTTATTTACTCCCAGGGCCATTCATATCCAAGTTGACATTTAGCCACACTATTGCTGTTCCGTAAAATCTAGTTTTTATGAGGCGAGTTGTTAGCCCAATGCTCAACCCCCATTCTGGAGGACCAGGACATACACTACGGACAATGTAGCTTTTCCAATTCACCTACAGCACATGTGTTTGGACTGTGGGGGAAACCTACACGACCACAAAAAGAACATTCAAGCTCCACACAGAAATGCCAACTGACCCAGACATTGCAGTATTACCAGTTTTATACAACCTCCCCATTCAAGATTAAAATAAAACACAGCTCACCCTTAAACCAGCATGTTTAATCCTCAGAGTCTACTCAAATGAAACAATGACATTTCTTCCAGTTTCCGCAACTGCTTTATTCTGGGGGTCTGCAATACACCTGGCTTAATAACAAGGTGAGTTACAAAGACTGTAAATCCAAAATTACACATTCTGTTAAAGACCAAACAGCATCATTTATGAAACAATGGACAAGATGGAGTAGAAAAGCATCTCCGCTTCATTATTTTTTTGTTTTGCACGCCTGTGATATCCTTACCACAAGAAAGAAACTAACGACACAATATCATTAGTGAAAGTGCAAAAGAAAGACAAAAAAATTGGGAACAAATACACCCTAGAGTTGAAAAAAAAAAAAAAAAAAAGTACAAATACTAATAAATTTACACATGGCTGCCGCTACGTCTTCCTAAACCAAACTACCAATTCAATGCATCTACAGCTGAAATACTGAGCGAGAACAAAAAAAAAGGATTGAATTTATACTGGCGTAAAGCAGCGTTGGTGACCCGAAATCCATCATCAAGACAGCGACAGCCATCATTTATCATAAACGATCTACAAATCCGCCCAAAAAAAACTAAATAAGAGGTAATTCCTTATTGAGGAGTGAAGCAAAATAGAGAAACAAATAGGCTTCAAGTTTATTAATCAAGGAAATACGACGCATTTGCTTCAAGCTCATGAAAACCCCTTAAATATTATGAAATAAGTTAACTTTACCGGTGGTCTTTAGGGAGAAAGAAAGAAAGAGTTAGTATATTGAACACAGAAAGTAACAGAAACCAGAACAAGCTATAAAGACACAAAGACAACCTACTGAAGTAACACACTCGCCTGAAAATAAATACACTTGATTATTAGATTAAAAAGACGCGATAACAAAAACATTCTGGTGTTCAACAAAACTACAACAAAAACGTTCACCACACATTTAGGCGAAACTGCTCAGCATTGGCGGCGCAGAAATAATAATAATAATAAAAAATAATAATAAATCACAGTTATGTTTCTCAACAATCCTGAGGATTACATTGAATGTCTGTCGTCACAGTGAAAGAGGTTTCACGCAGTCCCTGCATTGCTTTTATTTGCTTTATAAATGTACCAACACAACAGTACACAGTACGTCACCATCGCTTTCCAAAAGTCTCAAATCCGAGACAGTAACACAGCAGCTAGATTTTGTACTTTCAGAAAAAAAAAAACATCCTGTTCTCTGCATAGCATCAAGTTGACCTGTAGAGGATGTTAAACATTAACAATATAGACAATCTTACACTATCAGAGGAGCACAAGTCCCCTGACTACTCCTTGTTTATTTGGTCAGTGCCGTTCGCTCGTATAAAAGGTAATTGAGGCACTTGTTTGGGTTTTTTTTTTGCGGTTTGATTAGTACTCAAGCCATCATATAAGCCCACTGACCCACAATAGATTCACAAGTCAACTGTCGTGCGTCTGACTTTGTGTTAAGTGCACCGCAGATTAATCTATTGCCGTAATGGAATGCAAATTGAATCAAAACAACACCGTCTGAGGCTGCAGTTTATATTCGTATAGTCTTCCGGTCCAGAGATTGCAACCTTACAGTGTTCATCCTTTCAACACGTCAAACCCTTCAGCATTAGTGTCTGAAGAACGTCCCCAAAAAACAAAAACTAACAGTTAAACTTTTCTTCTTAAAGCCGATGGCGATGTGGTCAACATTTTCTCTGCTTGTTTGGAAGCTGTGGATGAGATAATGATGGTTAGGTTCATGAACAACATTGAATGCATTACCTCTAAAAAATGACTGCTGAAGACATTTACCCTGGATATTTTCTAAGAGCTCTTATCTGAAGGTCCACCACAGCGTTCATTATTCAGAGGGCTGCTTTGGATTCTCCTCTGAGACATGCTAGTGGAGTATTGAGGGAAGATCAAGGACCTGCTCCCTAAAGAGAGGAGCATAACGGGGTAGGGTTCAGTCATGATCCTAGATCACCTCCTGACTAAACATTCACCAAGAACATTCAAAAAGCCAATGGTAAAGTCTTCTTTTAATATTTTTTAATTTACTGCCTGCAGTTTTACAGAAATAATGCTTCTCTTAAAGGATAGTTCACTCACGAATGAACGTTACCTCATCGTTTATTCTCCCTAATGTTGTTTTAAACCTATTAGAGTTTCTTCTGTTGAACCCAAAAGGAGGTGTTTTGAAGAATGCTGGTGGTTGGTGCTTCAAAGGGTTCCAGAAACCAGCTTTCTTCAAAATGTCACTTCATTTTCATTGAAACAGACTCATTGGATGGAAGCAAGATGGTGCTGCTGTTGTTTTCGGGCCTGCGTATAGACCATTTTGAGGGATATAAACAAAAACAATGGTTTTTCTGTTTTACATTTTTAAATTTCTATAGCTTCTGAGAATCCACATAATAATAAATAACGTTATGATAGCTGCTTTAACATGAATTTATTATTAAATTGCTTCTTGTTACAGTTATGAAATAGTTTGATAACAAACAGGAAATGTTCATGGGCCAATGACATGACCACATTGAAATGGTCTATACATCATCTGACTCTAGCAAAGCAAAATGCTGTTAGCATTCTTCAAAATATCTTGAGTTCAATAGAAGAAAGATGCTCAAAATGGGATTTGAACAAGTGAAGGATGAGTAAATGATGACAATTAGAATATTGGGGTGAACTATTCCTTTAATAATTAAGCTCCCATAGTGTCTGAATGAAATGAAAATGTACAACGTTATTAAAGTCTAATTGTGATCAATTAATATGTGCAAGTTAATCCACTGAAAAAACATTTTGATTTGTTTATTACAGGGTGTCCACGGGATCTTAAAGTAATTAAAGTTGATAAATCAATTATGAGAAAATTAAAAACTATAAAAAGTCTTAATCGCGTTTTTACAAGGTCTTAAATTTTGTTAAAACATTGTCCAAAGGGTTTTACTGCAAAAAACCATAAATATATTTATTTTCCACTTAATATTAATGATGACATGCTCAATCCACGAAATTGGCATGGGCCGGGGCACGTCCGGTCAAGCTCCTCTGTCCAGGTGATGTTACGTAATTTGTGACAAACGCAGGAGGTGCACGCTCTCCTTATGTAGCAAAACCATAGAGCGAAACAGACGGCGAAATGGTAAAGTAAGTTTGTGTACTCCTGGTTGGAGAAAGACGAGTTTGAACAGTGGCTGAAGCCTGTCGCTGAAAACAACCGCGTAATTTAATATTTCAAGCTTTATTTTTTCCGAGCTTATCTGAGTTCTGTTGCATGGTTGCGCCCCGTTGATTTATTTGATTACATCTATTTATTAACAACTGTTTATTAACAAATGTTTGATACTGATTAGAACTTGAAGTTGAGATGAGGTCTTAAAATATTCTGAGAAGGTCTTTAAAAAGTCTTAAAAAGTTATTGAAATTATCTTTAGGATTCCAGCATATACCCTGTGTTAATCAAAATCAAACCATTTGTTTCTACTCGGGAAAGGCAGTACTTATTGATGATGTCAGTTTGACGAAATGGTTGAAATTTGCTTAGCCATGCCCCTCCAACCAATAGTTGGAGCTCAAAAATAAAATGAGTCACCTACTCGATACCCCCGTTCAGATGCAAACATGTCATCATACTTAACGTACACGTAGACTTTAATGTGTGATTTAAGACCCTATAAAATACATTTAATTCAATTTTTTGTCACTTCAATGTAATGGGTAAAACAAAATCTTTGCAATCAAAAAGCATGTCAAATTAATTGAAATCAGGAAACTCATTCAGTTAAAAATAATTTAATATAATAAAATATTAATCATCTTAGAAACCCTATGGTCTTTTTTTCTGAAAAATAAGCTACACCAGACTTTTTATCAATATTGATGAATTGTCACAAAAAAGATGCTGATAGCTTCTATGTGTACATTATTATGATAATATTGCTCTCATAAAACGGTAAAACGCTGGTGAAGTGACACTCAGAACTTCAAATAGTATTAGTAAATAAAAGTTATGATAGTTTGTTCAGACATTTAAATAGTCTCATTGGATTAATATTCAGAATCAATAGTCAATATTAGGGCTGCACAATATATAGTTTAAGCATCGATGGTCACATCGCAGGATACACAATGTTGTGTTGGGTTTATAGTTGATCAACAATTAACAACGCAGACTTTATATTGATGAATTGTCACAAAAAGATGCTGTGAGTTTTTGTGTGTAGTTATGGTAGTCTGTTCAGACATTTAAAGTCTTATTGGATTAATATTCAAAATCAATAGTCAATATTAGGGCTGCACAATATATCGTTTCAGCATCGATATCGCAGCCTATGTGTCCAAAATGGTCACAATGCAGGATCCACCACGTTGTGTTGGATTTATAGCTAATCAACAATTTAAAAACACATGAGATTTGTGAAGTAATTGCAAAGTATAGCCATAACAGAGTGAAACTTTATCTTTTGCATGTTATAAATGCTTTTCAAAAGAGTTAATACAATACTATACAGTGTTATTTTCCACTTCATTATTTAATTTCTGTACATGAATACGGTTTGACTCTCAGGGAAAACCATACAACATTTTTTTTTGCTCAGTTGTAATTATTCTTGCTTGCAATTTGCTTATTTTTTATACATTATTCACACCCGTATATAAATTAATACCCCCCCCCCCACCCCAAATAGGGCTATACAAGCTATCCAATAAAATTTTATTCATAATCTAAATATATAAATCGCAGAAAACCAAAATATCGCAAAGTCAGACTTTTCCATTATTGTGCAGCCCCAGTAAATATCAATAATATTTGTATTTATATTCACAATGACATCAAGAATTGCATCATTTTTTATGTCTAATGGGGGTGGAGCTTAGGATCTTATTCATAAAGCTTTGCAACACTAATTGCTGGAATTTTCTTTCTTGGACTAAGTAGTCTAAAAAATATGTACTTTTACATTCATTTAAGTGAATTTTAGTGCCGTATCTGTTCTTTTATGCCATTATTTTCCTTCAACCTGCAGTCACTATTTTTCTTGTCTAAAGTGTTTGGCTAAAGTAGAATAATCAGTCCTGTAAATAAATCGCATCATACAGAAAACAACCTCAAGACACAAAATCGTTACATTCAATGACCGAGGGACTGTTTATGACAGTGTTTCCCAACCATGTTCCTGAAGGCACACCAACAGTACATATTTTGAAAGTCTCCCTTATCTGAATCATTCATTTTAGGTTTTTTAGTCTCTTCTAATGTTCTGATGAGTTGATTCAGGTGTGTTTGATTAGGAAAATGTTAATATGCGTACTGTTGGTGTGCCTTTAGAGACAGGGTTTGGAAACACTTGTTTACACCATGTCACTGATGTTTACTGACAGATGTTTACTGTATGATGACTGAAATTACATTTTTTACAAGAATTACATTTGCGAATAAATTTACACAATCGCATATAAAAGAATGAACATTTTACTGTGTAATACTCACTATTGGGTACTTTTAAAAGGGCTACTGTTTACTCATACTTTGAGTAATAATTACAGAAACTTCAATCAGAAGTGCAACAGTGCTACAGAAGAACTACAATCAGAAACCTTTTCTTGTACTACATTTATGGGCAAGTAATGGTACTTTTAGTTGAGTATGTTTTTTAGTACTTCCACCACTGGTTGTATTAGCTTGTGTGCAATTTTTATGATCAACTACTCACCGGAAACTGGTGAGGACATGACACCATGGCTGGAACTTGGAGCGATGGGATGATAGAGCGAGGCCAGGTTGTTGGGAGTGTAGGTGCGGAGCATGTTCATGACATTCCAGTCAGGCTGCATGCTGTTTGAAGACGCTGTAGGGGTCACCTTAATCGAAGCCAAGGGTGAATGTGTCTGCAACGAGGTTTTAGCGTTCCTGCCTGAGGGCACAAGCCTGTTGAAATCCTCTCCAAGCCGCCCTGATGCAGTATGCAGAGGCTCAAAGGACTTCTGTCTTTTGCTGGAGGGTTCCCCGACCTCCATTTGAGTCAAGTTTCGAAAACGATCCGAAAGGCAAAGCCTCGCTGGATCCGTGGGCCACACCATTCCGTTTTTGCCCATCCTCTGATTCATCTCATGATCCAGGACAGGCTTCTGCTTGGGAAGCTCCCTATCGATTACCGACGGCACGTTGAATTTCCTGCTAGACTCTTGCTCTGGCTTTCTAGGCAGCAAGTTGGTTGCATCCAGTTCTCTGCCCCGGTGCTGATCTCTCCAGCGCTCTTTCACAGGAGAAACCTTAGACATCTGAGGAGGTTTCTGAAGCTTCTCCGGAGGTTGGCGTAGAGGGGATTTGGTTCGACGTGGATGCCTCCTGTTGATGTGGGCCAAAGGAGCGACATCTTTGCCTTCAAGAGCTGGTGGGCAACCAGTGTACCGTTTCAATTTCTGAGGTCCCCTGTATCCGTTCTTCTTGATGTCCAAATTCTGCTTGTGGATAAGCTTTTTATGCATCAGGAGAACCTCGGGATAAAGGGTCTCATAGGAGCAAGAGGTACACGTGTTGGTCAGTAACAGGTTTCTGGGTACTGAGGTAGCAGATATAGAGAGAGACACTTTGAGAGACAGATTCAGTGGTGCCTCAGAAGCTTCTTTCTCCTCCATTTTCAGATTTGCTGGTAATGGGTATTTTTTGTTGTCCTCGCTCAAAGGGGTGTACGGAGTTGCGACAGGAGAACTTACAAACTCTTGCTTAACTTGAATGGAAGGACTTGTGCTTTTGATAACCTGGCTCGTGCCTAGTTCATGTTTAACACTGGCAGGGAGAGGTTTAGGAGCAAGCCATTGTTTGGGTGGTTTTGAGGCTTGTTTGTTATCTACATTCTTGGGAGGTTCAATGGCCTTGATGATATTTCTAGCAGACGGTGTGGCGGGAATGTTCGGGATTTCCGTGAACGGTTTGTCCTTATGACGTCTGTCTAGATGATACCTCAAAGAGGTTTTCTGTGCTGCAGCATAGTCACAATATTCACATTTATAAGGCTTTTCACCTGTGAATGAAAAAGAAAGATGTCAAGACACCATAAAAAATAATAAAGAACCCCCATCTTTAAATAAAACAGAGATGCAACTCAAGACTTAAAGCACAGGCCTCAAACTCAGTTCCTAGAGGGCAGCAGCTCTGCACAGTTTTGCTCCAACCCAGACCAAACACAGCTGATCCAACTAATGAAGGTGTTCATGACTCTTTGGAACATCTCCATTATTTGGATCAGCAGTGTTTGATAGGGTTGGAGCAAAACTGTGCAGAGCTGCAGCTCTCCAGGAATTGAGTTTGAGACCCATGACTAGGCCCACACGGAATCTGCGCCCGCAGAATTCCGCAGATTTTCCGCAGATTTTTAGCCCATCATTAATTCTGTTTATTTACTTGAGTAAATGTGTAAATCTGAATTTATTCAGTTTTTATTCAGTAATGTTTTACTTTTTATTTCATATATTAAGGTTTTGGTTATGATACTCCGCTGGATACTCCCAAAATAATTCAGCAGAAATCCGCAGATTTTTACCAAAATTCTCAGCAGAAATAGCAAAAAACGTCCGCAGATTCCGTCTGGCCCTGCCTATGACTTAAAGGGATTGTTCACACAAAAATTTTTATTTACTCAAACTCAACTAAATGTTTGTAACCACGTGAGGATATTTATTCTGTTCAACACAAAAGATATTTTGAAGAAAGCTGAAAACCTGCAACCACTGACATCCATGGTAGGAAATACATGTACAAAAATACTCTAGAAGTCAACGGTTACAGGTTTACAGCTTAGTTCAAAATACCTAATTTTGTTTTCAACAGAAGAAAGAAACTTTTTTCTGGACAAGTAAAGAGAGATTAAATGATGAGAAAATGTTAATTTTTGGAAGAACTATACCTTTAACTAAAGACAATAGAATAAAGTACTCACCAGTATGTGTCCTGAGATGAATATTGAGGTAATAATTAGAGCGGAAAGTCTTGCCACAGTAATTGCATTTTCTCGGAGCAAGAATTTTGAGCTTCATTTTACCCTGTCCATCCTCAAGTTTATCTGTAAGGAAACAAATGACATGTTTAGAATTAGACTTCGGTATCAAATTTACTTGATTAATTTCTGAAGTTTTTAACCATTGATTATAGTTATCATAACCAAACAGTTATAGTTATATTAGTTATATATTTATTGTGTATACAGACTAAGGGTAAATTAACACTTTAAACAAATTAAACTGCGAAAGTATGATAAAGTACAATAGAGAACACTTTGCAATGGTCATATTAGTAAATGTTAGTTAATGGATTCAAATCAACAGAGAAATAGCCATATTATAGTTAATGAAAAACATTACAACTGGATTTTATTAGTTTAAACTATTAAAACTAGGCATGGCTCGGTATAAGTTTGTGACGGTTACCCTTGGATAAAAATATCACGCTATCAAGATATTGTGATTACTTCTCTAAAATAAGTCCTTTTTAAATGTCTTAGTAAAAAAAAAAAAAAAACATTTTCCCAATTGAACACAATATACAGTATTTCAATTTACATTTTTTAAAATTTACAATTCACATTATAATATTGTGGAATAGTAAACATGTCAGGCTAAATAATTAAAATAAATCATTGACTTCAGCTAGCTTCATTAGCTTAAAAAAACACAGATTTCTTTACAACACACACAAAAAAAAAACATGAAATATACCTTAGAAACGGTATAACAGAACATTTTTGTGGTTTTAAAAACTTGACTTTTTCAAACCGCGGTAAACCATGAAACCGGTTATCATGCCATGCCTAATTATGACTTTTGGTTTTGATTCGTTACTGGACATTAACATCACCTAGATTAATGGATTAGAAAGATTAATAAACATTTTTGTATTTGTCATTACATTGAATTTAATTTAATTAAATTAACCAATGTTAAAAAAAATTTAACCTTACTGTGCAGAGTTAACAAGCAAAACACCTATAAATAGTCACAAAATTTTCAATGACCAAGATCAGATGAGCTTGTTTGAAATGATTAGATTGGAATGTTTGAAAATAAATTGCCAAGTATTTGGTGCTGTGATGAACAACCACTGCCAACACAACAATCTGAATATCCCTAAAAGACTATCTAAAATTCAAATAAACAATTATTTAATGTATTTTGAGGTGTCCACAATATTGTGCAAGATCATTATTATATATTGAATATCAGCAAATGTTTATTAGCTTATGGAAAACATCTATTCAATTCATGCTTATTTCTACAGCGCTTTTACAATGTAGATTGTGTCAAAGCAGTTCAACATAGAAGTTGTAGTAAAATGAAACTGTGTCAGTCCAGTTTTCAGAGTTGAAGTTTAGTTTAGTTCTGTGTGGTTTAATTTTCACTGCTGAAAGTACAAACACTGAAAAGCAAATCAATCGACAACAAGTCCCAATCAAGCAAACTTAAATAAGATATTTAAGCTTAAATAATTGTAATTGCAATAATGATTAATAAATAATAATCCCTATTGCTTAAATACAACATGGTATTCTGTACAATCTGCAAGTTTTTCTTCATTTAATACCAGCAGAGGGAGCTCTAAGATCTAAATCTGCACAAAAAAAAAGGTTTGTGTGAAGAAGTTACAACTGAACCAGTCAAACAGAAGGAGCTTCTTCAATAGCACATAATTATGGTGTACATACAATATAAAAAGACGATTACAACCTATTGACTGTTTGTTGTGTTTAACATGCAATTAAAAATGAATAAAGATGCAAATACAATACAAAGCACTTTGGCTAAAATACCTGGATTAAAGGCGTCAACTGGCACTCCCTCTTCAGAGCCATCCTCTGAATACTCATCTGCTCGGTCCAGAGATGAGCTGCTACAAGAACCAACGCTCTGTGCCCTTCCATCCACAGGTGTGGTGGGGCTCTCCGCTCCTCCTCGTTCCTTCTTGTGAATTCTCGAATGAAGGACCAACTGATGGTACGTCCTAAAGATCTTCCCACACTCTTCGCAATTGGTTGGCTTGTCTTTACGAATCAGACCCTTTTGCTCAGGTGATGGAGAAGGAGTGTCTGAAGGCTTGAGTTCACTTCTTAGGCCTCGTCTGGCAGGTTTATCTCCGGAAGCCCAGATTGCCCCAAGTTCCTCTTTTTCAGACCCCGAGTCTTCATTGTCAGAATTAGAGTCTGCATTGAGCTCCTTGGCTAAGTTTGGACCTGCCGCAATCTTGCCCCTTGTGGCCAACTGCCAGGCTTGGTAGGTGTTGAAAGGATCGAGTTGTGATATCCATCGTCCAGTCGGATGCTTCGGTTCTGCTTCTCTGGCAACGGAAGGATGCAACTGTAGGTTCTGCAAAAATGCATGTTGGGATACAGGAAGCTCCTCAGCAGGTTGGTCATGAGTGGAGATGTTCTCATCTGCTTCTGCATCTCGATTGTGAACTTTACTGTGCTCAGCCAAAGCTTCCTTGTTGTGGAAAAAGAAGCCGCATACCATGCACATTTTGTATGACGTGACCACAGGGGATGGTGGCTGGTCTTGAATGACATCATTGACAGTGGCTGGGATCTCCAGCTCATGGTTTTTGCTTTTAGACCCAGTCTTCCCATGAGTTCTCATGTGGTTCTTAAGGAACCACGGCTCTTTGAAACGACGCCCACAGATGCTGCAGCAGTATGTAAAAGAGTCCTTGTGTTTCCTCATGTGCGTCTCCAGCTCTGTCGCATCTTTGATGGCCTGGCCGCACACAGCGCAACTGAGTTCCTCGTTTTTTTCCACAGCAGGGCAGGTCTTAGAACGGGCCCTGTCACCAGGGGTTAGGAATTCTGCTTCCACGCGCAATACTGCAGGTCCGTGGAATGTTGTGGGATGCTGGGAAAGAAGGTGTGGTCCCAAGTCTTCCTGATGCAGAAAGGTCTCCTCACAAAACATGCAGTCTAGAGGCAGGCTACTTTCTGCCAGGATGCCTGGTTTTTCCACCAAGCTGGCATGAGGTGTCATGCTAGAACCAGTACCAGGCATGCTTGCACTGCTGTGGCTAAGGATGTCATGACCAAGTCCATCAGGACTTTCCACATATGGGATCAATGGGTGGGTAGGCATGTCAGCAGGAATTTACTAGGGTATTTTTTTCTAATTCACTTGAAAGCTTGTATGAAACCAAGGAAGGAGACATGTGAGGGGGAAAAAAAAGGAGTCATTCATCTGAATTACTCACGAAAGGCATCAAACTTCTATGAAATTTTCAGAATTTTCCTAGAAGACTTTTGAGAAATATTTTGAATTTCAGAACAGTGCATAATCTGAGGGTTTCAGTGAAGCCATTCCTGTAAAACAGAAGCAGTCGAGGCTTGCCATTCACTGCCAGGTAATGGGGCATACACCTGATAAGTTGATTTCCTGTGATTCACACAGAGGAATTGTCCTGACAGGCAAAACCTGAAATGGAAGATAAAAACAAAGTCAGGTGTGGCCACTTCTGCGGAATGTAATCAACTCAGGACTACAGATACAAATGAGTTAATTAGATTTGTACTGTTACTCGAGATGAAACTTGATCAGTCGCATGAATTACTAAAAAAAAAATTATCTGGTGGCTTCTTAAATAAACTGAAGACAAATGAAAAGCATTTTTACCTATCCTGCATTTTCATAAAGTGGATCAAATACCAAACAAATTACAAAATATGCATTCTGTTGTTACAGCCGTTGTTATTTTAATTTAGAATACATTCATGTTTCAGTCATTAAAGTAAGTTAAAGCTATCAAAATGCATTTGTAACTTAGTGAATCTTTAAAAACTGCTCAATTAAGAAATAGTCCTATACGATTTGATTTCCCTTTTGATTTAATAACAAATATTAATGATAATTAGTTAATAAATGTCTTTCCATCCCTAAGCCTGTGGATTTGACTTCAAAGCCATCTGAAATGGGAATGAACTCACAGTTATAGGGTTGTCAAGGGTACAGCCTAAGTCTATAATAATTGTGCCCTTGAGAAAAGCCCTCATGGCCAAGTTACTCCAGTGGGGCTGTCGCTACTCCATGCCCAAAGTAAAAAGAACAGACTGTGATAAGATTTAAAAGTAAAGTATTCACTTATATAGAAAATGTTGTTAATTGTAAGTAGTAAATGCAGCAACTTAACTTAAATTATTATTCAACCTTTTTTAATAACTAATTGTAATGTTTGAAACTGCATGTAGTAATCTTATCCGATAAGACAACATAAAAACTACATGCACATTAATAACAATGACAACATAAGTGAAGGTTTTTTATGGGCTTAGCTTGTCAAACCACAGGAAAGCTTAAAAAGAGCAGCCATTTTATAGCTTTAATGCTACAACTAGCATATGACCTTCAATGCATTTGATGCAATTTGTCCTATTTACATAAATAATAATAATAATCCACAGACAGATATATAGACAGGAAGATAGGCTAATATTGTCCTGGCATCAAATATTCATTGAATGAAACTTAGGGGAAAACTAAATGAACTACCTTATTTTGTTTCTATGACTCACAGGAAAGAAGTGCTCACTTTTTCTAAAGAAACTGCCATCTTGTAGGACACTAGTTTGATTTGATTACCTATTTGATTAAGAAAAATGATATATAGCAAGTAGTGGAACAAATTGCTTATTTTAACTTTCCCTTTCTTCCAATCCATCCATAAACGTCAAGTATACATAAGTGTGTGAGCATCTCTTTGTTAATATATCTTTATATACATACTCTAGCCTGTTCTTATTCAAATTTACAAAAGAATAAGTTTACACGCTAAATGACATTTTGCAATATTAAAAACTAACCATGACATGAAAACCTAAATGTTTTTAGACCCTGATGAAAATATAAAGTAAGTGAACATGAATAGGTCTGAATGAAACGCAACATCTCAAGTTGCAAATCTGGTATAAACTATTCTGTATTGCTTCATTCGAGCTAATTGAAGAAAAACCCAGATTTCAGATCATTAAGAACGCTTTCCAGGGGCAAACCTGACAAAATGCAGTTCTTTAAATGAGTTACGAATGAAGCAACAGGAAGCCAGAGTCAAATGCCTATCTACAGCGGTGTCCTTCACAATATCTGCGAAGCCTCACTCATGAGGCCTTAGGTGGAGTCACAGCATTGTTCTGCAACTTTTTAGCCCACCTTCCATGCTGAAACAAGCCAATATATATACACAAACCACCACATTTAGCTTTCTCTTAGGATACTATTTAACAAGGTGACTTTACAACACCCTTATTCAAGCTTAAATCTCTTGACAATTATTTTTAAGTGATTATTTCAAGTCAGAAAGAAGTACTTTAAATGCTAAACATACAAAGAGAGAATCGCTTTTGTCGTAACCAAAGGTCAAAAGTCTCCTGCTATTCCTAGCATACACATACTAGGCTTTTTTTTTTGTTTGCGTTTAACACCTGGCGGTTTATACGGCTATTTCTGTGGTGATAAAATGTACTAATGCAGTTAGACTACAAAGTTTTTACAATTTATTTTTGCTTAAACCTCTAAACATGATTTAATAGTGTTACAAATATCTTCAAAAGAATGAACTGAATAATTAATTTCTTGCCGAATTAAAGTCAATAGAAACTATTAGAACATACTTATAGTGCAAGCACACACTTCAAGTTCAAATCACTTTGAAGGGGAGACCCTACACAACATAAAAATAGACTTTGCTAATGTTAGGCACTGAAAAAAGAGAAACAGAAGCCGAAGATGTTTTAAAAAAAGAGAAACGGAGGTTGAAAAGGAAGCTACAACACTTCACTTATCTACCGAATAACCACTGTAAAAAACACACACACACACACACACAAGAGAAGGAAAAAAAAAACAAACAAAAAAAACAATCTGAATTTTTCTTACATTCTGCAGACATGCTCTAATTACAGCTCCTGCCATGCTGATTTCAACAAACAACACTGTTTACTTCTTAAAATCCCTCAACATAGCAATCCCAAACTAATCCTGAGCTAACAAATTAATGTAAAAAAAAAAGTTCTGCAGTCAACCAAAACTGTTCAAAATAGCATAAATGTCAATGACCCCACCTATAGTAGCGTCATTATAATGCTCTAAAACACGGTTAGTTGACATGCCTGAGAAACAGCTAGAGACCAGCTGCTGTTTGTCTTGCTCTTTTGTTTGGGCTTTGCCCTGCAACCTGTTCACAAGAATAGTGTTTGCTGGCCCCAAAAGCATCCAGTTTTATCAATAAAGTTCTTTAAAAGACACAGTGTCAGTTACACTTATTGCAGTTGTCTTATAGGACAACAAACTACACAGATGGCTCATGCAAATACATGAAAAACAGGTTAGCATTACTTAAGAAAACAGTATGAGAGTCAATTGCTCGGTAACTATTTCAGAATAAAGCTCCTGCTGCTGACGACAAACAAAAACATGCATTTACTCTCTAAAATGTATAGAAATGGAAAGAATACATTGGATATATTGTATGTTATATATAAAATGTGTGTATATGTAATGTAATATATTAAAATAAAAACATGCATATATATATATAAACAATATATATTTTTTATCTATATATATATATATATATATATATATATATATATATATATATATATATATATACATATATATACATACATACATACACATACACACATATATATATATATATATATATATATATATATATATATATATATATATATATATATACAAAAACCTCTAAATGCTATCTGAAATTTTCCTCCAGAATGAGCATTTTTATCAGTCTACTGTGTGTATATCAGTAATATCACTTTTATGGCAAAAGAATAAGTCCTTTTCCTGGTCTTTAAAGTGAAATATCTCGACATAAACAAAAGGAGGCTGCGAAAAACGTTCATTTCCTATAGAAATTTAAGACGACACTTTTTGCATCTGAACTCTTCATATATATATATATATATATATATATATATATATATATATATATATATATATATATATATATATATATATATATATATATATATATATATATATATATATATATATATATATATATATATATATATAGAGTGAGTGTCTGTGTATCTGTATGTCTATGTATATATATATATATATATATATATATATATATATATATACACACACACACACACACACACACACACACACACACACACAC